CCCTCCACACCTCCCATATACCCCTCCACACCTCCCATATACCCCTCCACACCTTCCTTCAAATTCATGGCCTCTTATCTCACTAACTGTTATTGCATGTGTATGGTATTTATTCCTAAACACAACCTACTCAGTCCATATAATGTTACACATGTGTATGTTTTCAGGGCTGACCACCTGGTACCAGATGACCAATAGATATGCTCTTTCTTAGGGAAGAGCACGGAGGTAGCACCTGTACACGGTGAATCGACTAAAATGAACTCATTAGGGTGGGGTCATATGACTGCAAGAACCTTGGACACAGACACTTCACGGGGACCAGTTTGCTAATGTCCGATGCTTCACATCGGTTTGCTGGGCTAATCATTGCCATGTCGCGTGAAGTATACATACATACATACATGCATACATACATACACATACATACATACACATACATATACATACATACATATACATATACACACATACATATACATACATACATATACATATACACATACATATACATATACATACACACATACATGCACGCATACATACATATACATACATGTATATATATACATATATATATATATCAATCTATGGGTGAGCCACACAAGAGAGCTCTAAGGACTCCTGCGTCGAGAAAGAGAGTCGAGTTTCTCTATGAAGAGAGTAGCACATTTGGCGGCACCTGGATCAAGGCTCCAGCATCCTCACTGAGTTTGTCATCATGCTTGAACTCTACAGTCACGGCCTTATCGCAGTCGATGGCCGCCATTTCTACATCCGTGGTGTTGTTCATAAATATTCCTCCAAAGAAATCGGTGGCTCTGAAACCTAAAGGACCGGAAGACAGGAACATCTGCTTATCTGAATTTCGCCGTTCTTTGTTTTGCTGTTACGTAAAGAGACAGTAATTCCGCAGCAGGGACGTGAGATGATGTAAATGCAGGTTACCTGTGCTGGTACGAACCCTCATGATGGCATCGAAGCCTATTTTCTTTTCAATATCATTTCGGAGGTCATTCAAAAACTGCTGGCTGTCCGAATTTACCTAAAAGACAAAATGTGATCAGTGGCCACCAGGTGGCAGTAAAAGACTTCAAGTAACATTACTTTTGACTGACTTTTCAAATAATTTTTATAGTTTGATTTAGCACACTTACATGTATGTCTTATATACATATATGAAATTGAAATTTGTGCCCTGGCAATGCTGAAGCATGCATGGGCAGCCCTATATGGCGGTTCTTTGAACCTGTCCATATTGGGTTTCATGGTCTAAATTTGATGAGGATGATGTACATATATAATCTTATGAAATACATAACCTTTGGGCAGTGACTCAAAGTTAAGTTCCTAAATAAATAGATAAGTTCCTTATCTATTTTTTCATCTTCATAACATTTGTGTGGGAAGATCACTTATTAATTTTATTTTGAGAATGGAGAAATAGCGTAAGCGATTCACTCAGGGGATTAGTGTTAGACATGGAAAGGGATTCAGTGTGTAACATATGAAGTCCCTTGGACTTCACAGCTACTCTTTTAAACTGTATTTATAAAAGTTGTTTACATCCCACACCTAAGCAGTATTAAAGGGGTACACAAGCATGCAGTACGGAGCTGAGGCTCACCTAGAACACTACCTCGCTGAGAGGCAGCAGCCAATGATGTATGTCTGACCAGGTCAGAAATGTCTTTATGAGATTCTCACCATTGCTGCTTGAGAGGCAGTGGAGAGGCACACACACACAGAGACACACACACACACAAACACACACACAACACAAACACACACACACACACACACACACGATTCCCATCACCAATCCCCAGAGCAAAGAGAAGAGAAGAAGAAAGGAAACAGGCACACCACAGACCGTCCTCATAAAAGACACTGCAGATACACATCAGGTGCCCGACTATGGACACTGCACACACATACCAGGTGCTTGGACCATCATTTTCACCTGGCAATATTTTTTAATGGAGGACACCCTTAAAATTTTTACTTTTAAAGCTGAGAAGTAGATGCTAACATGATTCTGTCTACAACAATGAACACAAAAGCTGAAGCGGATTAACACTAACGCTGATTATAAAATGTTCGACTTACTGACAGTGCAGACAGCTTTCTTCCATGGGATCATGACACCACTTCTTTTTTAATAACACTGATGGAGTCAATATTAATTTTTGGTGTAGTGACAAACAACTTAGGATTTTTATCAAACACTACACAGAACTAGCGCACGACTAAGGGAATGGAATCAACAGTGGTGAAGTCTGATGCCTCTTGCCAACACGACCCTTGGTCACAGTGCACCTAAGTCACTCTAATGAAGATAGCCCCACCCATGTGGGACCCCAGGACCACCCCAGCCAGGACTTTGTTAACAAGGATCAGAAGATGGAGGTTTCCGAGCAAATGTATTCCTCTCACTAGAGAATGACCTGAAACAGTTGCAGCGGGCCTCAAACACGCGGAATTCTGACCAGAGGAGTGTCTGAATTTTACCATTATTAAGGGCTTATGTTCTAGGGTACCTGCAACGATATATGTTTATCCTGAAGTCTTCAAGGGGTGGTTAAAGCTTTTATAAATGCATTTCATTGTCAGTCTTTGGCCTTCCTAAGTCTCTTACTTAACTTCCCACACAAATTTGTAACTGGGTGCTATCCACCCCTAAGCTAAGATAGCGTGAGCATTTGTCTTCTGTTAGGAAAACAGCCCTCTGTGACCAGTTGCCCCGTGGAGCACGAACATCAGTGGCCTGGCCCTGGGTCCTCCTGGGGCCGCATCCATTCTCTGTGCCTAAATACAGTAAGACTTCGAGGCACAACTGTCCTCAAGAGAAGCCTGTCCTAAACTGGGGTGTATGCCTTTGCCTAATTCAGGGGAGGCACGTTCGTCCAATGTGGAAAAGAGGGTGTGATGAGCTGAACCTGCCTCATAGTTCAACAAATTAAAACAAGCACACAGTTACAGTTTCAAACATTATCTCAGATGTCTCTTATATAAAGTATACTTTCCCCCACAGCAAAGCTCACATTAATATTCAACTCTGGGGCAGTACGAGCGCGATACGGGAGCTAAAATCAGTGGGAGGCCAATCAAATGTACACAGTTTTATATCTGTTGACTTTACTTTTGCTAGTTGTCCGCAATGCAACTTTCTTAAGCCATCAAACTGAAACTGGGCTGGGTAGATGGCCCAAGCCTTAAGAACACTTGATGTGGCTGGGCAGTGGTGACACACACCTTTAATCCTAGCACTCCTGGGGCAGAGGCAGGCAGATCTCTGTGAGTTCAAAGTCAACCTGTTCTACAGAGCTAGTACCAGGACAGGCTCCAAAGCTACAGAGAAACCCTGTCTCAAAGGACCAGAGAAACAAAACAACAACAACAAAAACCACACTTATTGTGTGAGTCAAATGACCTGAGTTTGGTCCTGACCCACATGCAAAAACACAAACAAACAATAAATAGGTATGGTAGCTCAAAATTGTAATCTCAGAACTCCTACAGCAATACAGGAGGCAGAAGTAGAACTCCCAGACAGCTTGCTGGGCTAGCTAGCCTAGGGCAGTGCACAGTACACATGCAGAAACAAGGAAGACTCTACCCCAACTGGAAGAAGAGAACCAATCTCAAAGTCCTTCCTGAGCACCAGAAGCTCTCAGTGACATGTGTACACCTGCACACACATGCCCCACCCCCATGCACACCAGAGGGGGCAGGGAGAAGGACAGAGACAAAGTACATCTTAAGGAAATATTCAAAATTCAGCCAGGAGGAAACGCAGACGCACAGATGGCTCGCCACTTACCTGAAATCCATTGTATTTGTAAAGGGTCCCTCCCGTGAGCAGGGGGACCAGCCCCAAGGAAGCCACATCCACATACTGACTGGGAAAGAGGAAGAGCGTCACCGAGCAGCTATTGGCCACACAGTCCTTGGCCAGAGATTCATAGACAGTTGTTTGGGGCTGGAAAAGTATCTGAGGAAAAAGATGGAAGAAATGAAAAGCTATACAGTATTTTTTTTATTAAAATTTAAGTTTCTATTAATTTTTTTAATTGGACATTTTAAATGGGGAAAAATACGGAATTTCTACCTCCAGTTAAGTGGACGAGGTGAATGAAATAAAACAGTTGGTTGGCTTCAGGTTATCTGATAATCTAACACCCCAATGGGGCTGTCCCTGCTCCCATCCTCAGTCCGTAGGCCTGGATACAGCTCTGTGGATTGGATGGTGCTGGATGGCTGAGGGGCGTGCACCTCAGTCAGCTCCATCTTCCATCACCAGAGACTGTTCCCAGCGGCCACACTGTCTCGGGCTTGAGTGACAGCTTCTTTTCAGCATCAGACCTTGGCTTCACGACTGGTGTCTCTTCCTCAGGAGAGTGAGGTCACAGAGCAACCACCTTCCCGCTCCACTTTCTTCTTCGTGCAAGCCCTCCCTTCCATTTCTCCAAAATTCTCATCTTATACAGGTTACACACGGAAGATGTTTCAGTGTAGACACGTCAGCTATCAGTCTCTCTGGTGCTATGAAACTCCCTAGCAGTTTACAGTTTAGAATACTCATGAAGGATGGGACCTCTTTTAATAACGCTTCAATGGACGCTTCAAAGAGTAACCAACCGCTCCCAGGTACCTTCTCTTTGTCTGTGTTGACCAGCTTTCTGTCGTCTCTGTTCTTGAGTTTCCCCGGTGCTTCTGCAGTAGGCAAGGAGGAATGGAAGATAAAAAGCTTCCCAGGGCACTCGGCTGCCTAAAAGCAACGCACAAAATGTCTGGTTGTTGTGGCTTTATTTTTAAGAGCATCATAAAAGAATGAAAATCCTACCTCACTGCAGTCAGGAAGGTAATGATAAAAATGAACCATGAACTATGGTTGAGGCAGGGGCAAAAGGGACCTTTTGCAAGTCTCTAGAAGGGAGCCCTCCAGCCAATCAGAATGGAAAAGAGTGTGGAGGGCCCTCCAGTAACTGCAGAACCACCAGACTGCGGGAATGAGCTTTCTGAGCAATACTGCTGGTAGATTGCTTCTGCAAACCAAACTTTCACCTAACCTGGAGCCAAGTTAATGATGTGCTTGGAGACTATCATGAGGCATTCGTTCTGCTTACACACTGTATACTCAGAATTAACTGACTTTCGCAAAAAACAATGTAACCGATATTTCCACACTTTGAATTCCCTGATATAACATGTTCTCTGTTTCTCCTTAGTGACCCATTCATGCCCCTGACTTAGGAGAGTGTGTGTGGGGGGGTAAGATGTGGTGGTCACACCTAAGATCATTCACTGGAGGTAGAGAGGCATTGAAATCAACCTAAAGGGGTTAAAAAAAATACATGAGTATAGATCAATAACATGTGGTTGTGGCTTTGTGTTCTCTTTGGGATCAGTAGGGCCAAAAAGCAATATCCTCGCTTGTGAGACGTCTATGGAAGACTGATGAAGACATAAGTTCCTATTTACTGTGCTGTTCAATACGTAAAGAAGATGGCCTTTGTTCAAGAGACCTGATCAGGTCAGAACTCTTCTAATCCAACAGGCTCACTCTCGAGAAAACAATACTAAGGGCTAATTTCTTTCTTCCTTTCTTTCTTTCTTTCTTTCTTTCTTTCTTTCTTTCTTTCTTTCTTTTTTTTAATGTGATATTGTCTCGCCTGTAGACAAAAATACAGCACTTCAAGATATATATGCAAAGTCCCCTGAGTCCACACAGCACATAAAACCTGCAAACCCATGTTTATGATAACACTGTTCACAGCAGTCAAGTAATGGAATCCGTCTAGGTGTTCGTCAGTAGGTGACAAGGACATGTAGCACATAGACACATGGCATTTTAGTCAGCTATTAAGTGGAATAAAATTATTTGCTGGGAAATAGATGCAAATGGAGATTACCATATTAAGTTAAATAAGCCAGACTCAGAAAAACAACAAGTTCTCTCTCATTTTTGGCTTCTGTGTTTCATATACGCAGAAAGTCATACATGTATATGACATGCTAGCAGAATAGATACTGGAGATGGGAAAGAAAGAAGGGGTGCATGCAGGAGAGACAGAATGCATTCAGCACTATCCACAGGGTGTGTAAGACAACAAAGCATTTGCAAACTGCCTCTTTATTTCCAGAAGGCTTAATTAAAATGTTCTTCAGCATTCAAACCACCACAAAAAGCAACACCCTGCATTTGTGTCTGAATGGTCACCACCACCACCACATTTTCCCTCAAATTTAAATGACCCTCCCCGTCTGTTTCCTGCTTCCCAGACCGCATCTTGTCTTTTACTGTATAAAGGAAAGTGAAAATCACATCATATGGAGACTTCCTGTGTTAATTGGAGCAAATTAAAAATATTTCTCAGTAACACATTCAGCTCTCAGAAATATAAAGTAAAATGTTTCTCGTCTGAGCCACCCAGTTCCTAGAGAATTCACTATCAATGTTCTTCGTGCCCTTCTGGATGTTGTCTAGTCACAGAAGAGCTGAAACTTGTACTCCAAAGACCACAGGTCCTAGTTCCCACGGGGTTAGAGTCTTAGCCGTTGTGTTAGCTCTGTGCCTTTAGGACAACCACTAAGCTCCTCTCAGCTTCATGCAAACCATACATGACAGAATAAGCACAGAACACAAGAGTTGGAAGACTTCGATGGTTCGGTTAGTCATAATAAACGCACTTAATTGTCTAGTTAAATGAATGGCAAGACCCTACTCAGGGTCCAATAAGAAACTCGGCATTTTAAAACATGAAGCAGCTGGGGCTGGGCGGATGGATGGCTCAGAGTACAAAGTGCTCGCCATTCAAGCATGGGGACCTGAGTACACATCCCCAGCTTCCACATACAAAACTGTCAGGTATGTTGGGTGCTGGAATCCCAGCATTCAACTGGGAGAAACAGAAGACTAGCCAGAATTGGCAAGCTTCAGGTTCAGGAGAAACCCTGCTCCAAGGAATAACCATCGATACCCATACCCATTTTTTGCCCAAAAAGATTTACTTATTTTTATCTTCTGTGTTTGAGGATTTTGCCTGCATGTATTTAAGCGCATCGTCTGTATACAGTATCCATAGAGGCCAGGAAAGGGCATAGGATCCACTGGAGTTACAAGCAATTGTGAGCCACCATACGGGTGCAGGGAACTGAACTTGGGTCCTCTGCAAGAGCAGCGAGTATTCTTAACCACAGGACCATCTCTCTCTAGCATCCCTTTAGTCCGATTCTTACACAGAAGTTTATTTATCAAGTTATTTGACTTAGATAAATGAGTTTGTCAGCAATTGGCATGTAATTGGTTCATGCATGTGTCAGAGTCTGAAGGAAACACAGCTGTTACTATACAGGAGGAAGCAAGAGGCTGAGATTGGAAAATGCTGTGGACATAGCACAACGGAAAAGCATAAAGTCCTTAGTTGAGTATTTCCAGGGCCTTTAGGAATATGCATAGGTGGAATATGCCACTAACATCCCCAAACTGCCACCGTTTGCCTTTGGGACAAATTTTCATGGCTTTTTTTCTAATTTTGATCTGTTCTGTTTGCTTTAAGAAGTTTCTTAATAATAATTCTATACATATATGAATTACATATACACATATACATACAATTGGCATATAATATATTAGTGGTATATAATAATTATATAATTAGTAGCATATATATATATATATATATACATGTAAAGAATTTATTTGGTATCTATCTGGTAGAAAGAAAAGTTCTGAAAGGCCTTCACAATAAAACAAGTTCCCCTTTTCTTCCTTTTTAAATAATTTATTTATTTAAATTAATATTTTTAATTATTTTACAAACCACGGTTTCCCTTCTTCCTCTCCTCCTATTCCCTCCCCCACACCCTACCCTAACCACTTCTCATCTACCCCCCTTCCCATCCACTACCCCTCCATCTCCATTCAGAAAGGAGCAGGCCTCGCATGGGCTTGTACAAAGCATGGCACATCAAGTTGAAGCAGGACTGAGCTCCTCCCCCTGCATCAAGACTGGGCAAGGTAATTCAGTTCCCCACCACACACACACCCCGAAAGTCAGCTGAGTGCCAGGGACAGGTCCTGATCTCAATGTTAGAAGCCTGTTTCTACGCCCTCCCCATAGTGCTGGGATTGCATCTCTGCCCTCTGTATACAATATCTTGAGCTACTGACCAAACCATAGTCCTGAACTTTCCCAAGTTACCCCTGGCCTCCCTACTCCCTCTTTTACTACCAGAAGAATTGTGTCTCATGATACAGAATTAAATCTCCCCTGCAACGCTTCAGAAAACTTAGGCACAGGACAGTCTAGACTGCTTGAAAAACACAACCGCTGAATGATTTTTCTTATTGGTTGAAAAGAATAAATGAATGAATGAATGAACGAATGAATGAAGAGGCCTCCTCAACACTGTTTCTCCACTGCACATTCTCGAATATGTTAGCTTGTAGGGAAGGCTACAGGTGAGAATTTTAGAGGCTTCTTGTGTAAACTATACACATTTAAGTCTGATTTTCAGCTACCCAGGACCTGACTCTGTATTCATGAAGTTCTTCTGAATTGCTATGCTTAGATAGTAGGGGTTTTTTTTTCTCATTTTAAAACATCAACACTTTTGTGTCGGCTAGTTTACATCAACTTGATACAACATAGAGTTAATTGAAAAGAGGGAACCTCAATTGAGATCCATGAGATCAGGCTACAGCCTTTTTCTTAATTAGTGACTGATGGGGGAGGGCCCAGCTCATTGTGGGTGGTGCCATCCCTGGGCAGGTGGTGCTGGGTTCTATAAGGAAGCAGGCTGAGCAAGCAACGAAGAGCAAGCTAATAAATCGTGCCTCTCCATGGCCTCTGCACCAGCTCCTGCCTCCAGGTTTCTGCCCTGTTGGAGTCCCTGCCCTGACTTCCTTTGAGGATGAACAGTGATATAGACGTGTAACCCAAATAAATCCTTTCCTTGCTAAGTTGCTTTGGTCATCTGTTGCCTCACAGCAAAGATAAGCAACACCAAGACAGCTTTTGTACACTTCAAGGATGAATATATTAATAAACATTAATATAACAAGAAACTTGTAAACAAAAACATTATGCAAAAGCCATCAAGACATGAATGACAGGAATCAGAACGTCACGAATGGATGGCAGGGAAGGCTTCCTGCTACAGCAAGCACCGCAGAAGCAACTTCAGAGTATATTATTATTACTACGGACAATGATTTATCACGATTGACATCAAATTTTAGACAAAGAACAGCTCGTCACCACTCGCTCCTCATGCCCCACTGATGCAAGCACATATTTAAAACATCACTTCCAGCCTTGGTTTAAAGCAGAGTGAGGCTTAGAGTCCTTCATGACTCGTGATGTGCGGGGAGGTTTACTAACATACTTCTCACTGGAGGGCATGGCTGACCTTCCCAAATGAAAAGGAACAGTCAGGATTTTAGTTATTTTGCGATATGAAATACCATAATTCCCAAGGCTTTCTATTGATCACTGATGACTTTCAGTGGGGGGCGACTCTAATACCGTCAAATCATTTGTGATATGAAATCTATTGCTAGAGTAACATTAAACGGCCCATTATTCTGACAGCTGAAGACATTGACAACACCAGGAGCAGATGCTCCTATACCACACCTGAGCACTCAGACATCAGAAAACCTAGACCAGAATCAAGTGCTAGGGTCAGGCTACAGAAAGAGATGCACCATTCGTGTGGGATCAGTTCCTAAGCTCAGCCCTATACCACCACTAACTCTGTTCACTTGGATCATTCTTGTCATTATTGCTAGTCATCGTATTTTAGAAGTTGGCGTGGAGTTAATTTTAATAACACAATTTTAAAACTAGCTTCGGGCATGAGCTGTCAAAACCGACAGGTTCAACTATTGTGATAAAGAGACAGCAACAAGGCCGTCTAGATCGCATTGCCTTCTTCAGTCCTAGGAAGACAAAATGTCATTTGAGCCCAGGCTTCCCAGTGGTCACAAGGACAACACCACTCCGCTTAGACCGTGAGCTAAGCCACGGGCATCAGCCACTTCCCTGACACTACCTATCCCCAGGCCTCGCCTTTGCATGTTTGAAAATTCCAAGGAACGAGACAACAGAACTGGAATTTTTCTCATCGTATCCGATAGCTCTGATTTGACTGAACTAACTCTGAAAATAGATCACAAAACGTTCACCTAAAAGCCAAAGAGAGGCGAAGTTGAATCCTAACCAGACAGCTGTCGTGATGCTCACAGCACTGGGGTGGAAACACAGGGAGTGGCTGTGGCTCGGACCATTTCCTCCTGAAAATGGGGCACCATTTAACAAAGACTGTATTTCTTTTCGCACGCAAGGTCTTCTTTGCTAATTTCTCTGTTACAAACGTCATCTGCTATCAAGTAGAGGGGGCCATTGCTCACCTTGAGTGCTTCCATGCCAGCCTGGATGACAGGAACGAAGACTGTCTCGTTTTCATTAGAGTCAGCAAACATCTCCGGAATCTGGTCCAATAAACTGAGGGACACAAACGGGGAAAGGGTTCTAAACACTCAGCAAATCTGTCATAAACTTCAGAAGATAAACCACTGACGTCTCAAGCCTGAACAAATATGACATTTATTTGAAGGACAGCATGTGAGAGTAATGTGAGAGGACAGCCTGTTACCCACAGGGAACAGGCGACCTGACGCAGACACTCCTTAAGGGAGGATGTTTTAGCACAGTCTGGCACCAAAACCTATTCTTTGGATGGAACATTTACTAAATTGCAAACTTTGTAGATGCTTTTGATTCAATATATACCTATTTATAATACCCAGGACTCTTTAAATAACACTCTATCTTAATATGTACAGTACACGCAAGAAACACATCCTTTTCATCCCCTCCCCATCAAGGAGAAAGAATTTAAAGGCTGAGGCTGAATATTTTTTTTATTGATTTTTATTGAGCTCTAAATTTTTCTCTGCTCCCTCCCCCCCCGCTTCAACCCTCTCCCATGGTCCCCATGCTCCCAATTTACTCAGGAGATCTTGTCTTTTTCGACTTCCCATGTAGATTAGATCTATGTAAGTTTGTCTTAGGGTCCTCATTGTTGTCTAGGTTTTCTGGGATTGTGATTTGTAGGCTGGTTTTCTTTGCTTTATGTTTAAAACCCACTTATGAGTGAGTACAGGTGATAATTGTCTTTTTGGGTCTGGGTTACCTCACTCAAGAGACTGAATGTTTTTTAAATGGTCTACACCAGAAAGGGATTAATCTAAGATAAATCACAAGAGTTGTATACCCTATGCCTTAAGCCTCCTATTAACGACAACGCCAAACATTTATAGTTGGATGAAAACACAATATGGCTTAAACCATGCACCTGATTTGCATTTAATTAGAAGACACCTGATATTTACTTGTGAATCACAGATTGAGATTCTTGATAGTTGACAAGGAACCCGTCCAACAAAGGAACAAAGACCTCTGCAACATCAGTCACCACCATCATCTGAGGTTGAGCCAAATTACTCTTGACATTAAAGAAGTGCAGAACTTTGTTGTAGGTGATGAACCCAACCCGAATGGCAGACGTCTCTTCATGCTCCTCCCTAGAAGAGAAAAAAACAGAGCCAAATTTCAGGCACAAGCTCTCACGAACACAGTTTGACTCTTTCTCGGAGGTGATGAAGATGCCGTAGACTTGGGACTTGGAGAACATTTTGCCTTCTTCAGTCTTTTGCCTGTGAGATGAGGCTTCTACCTAAGTTCAACAACTGTGTGCCCTATAGAACACAAGGAAAGCATAAAGTTCTGGTTTTAATTTCTACTGCTCTTAGAAAGCAATAGTGAATCATGGCAGGAAGGGATAGGGATGACTTTAAAAATAATCTGGCCAACATGGGAAAGCATTCTACAAATTCTAGGTCAAGGGTTAGATATTATGAAAACACTTAATACATATTTGCTCATGGGTTTCTTTTTCTTTCTTTTTAATTTTTTTTTTTGGAGGGAGGTGTCTTTTCAAGATGTGGTTTCTCTTTGTAGTCCTGGCTGTCCTGGAACTCACTCTGTAGATCAGGCTGGCCTTGTACTCAGAGATCCGCCTGCTCTATCTTCCAAATGCTGAGATTAAAGGCAGTCTCCCCTATGCCTGGCTTAAATACAATTCATAGAAATTAGAAATTTTAGAATTTCTAATGAACAATCTGGGCTTATTACATTCATATAAATAAAATGTTCTTAGAAGTAACTAAAAGACCCAAGCAACGAGACATTTGAAGCGCAAGAGGGAGGGGACGCTTGACTTACTATAGGAAAGGACTTTAGGCTCCTGCAGGATATTTTTGCTACACATCCTACAACATTTCAGTGTTGCAATCGCTAGATTTTAACAACATGCCACAGAAACATATAGCAGCGAGTAAATTACACTCATAAAAAAGATTTCATGTGATGATTGTAACAGGAAATGAAACCCATGAAACTATACTAACCAGCATCTTTTCTTTCAGGAATTCCAAACAATTTGTTAGTGTTGCAGGAAGTACAAGCATGAATTCATTCACCCCAGTCCATAGCAAAGATAGTAGAATTTAGCGGTATAGGCTCCTGTTGCCTGCTTGATGGCTGCATTTCTGCCCGCTCGCAATGGCCTTAAAATACCCACAGCTCAGGCACTCTAAGTTCCAATGGCAAATACTACACGGTGCTCAGAGTCTCGATGACAACCACGATAGAAAGGTACATGATGTTTCCCTTGACTCTTCCATTTCAGTTACATCTCCTCTGCTTAGGACCCTGTTCTTCTGAAGAAGGGGGTACTCTTCTCATTTCTGAATTTTCTCCATAATATAAATGCTGCCTTGAGGCTGTTTTGCTGTTGTCTGTAACCCAAGCACTTAGAGGATAGACACAGGACTATCAGGAGTTTAGGGCCAACCTCAGCTAATTCGGAGTTCTCAAAAAACTCAAATAATCAATGAATAAGGGGTGTGTGTGTGTGTGTCTGTGTGTTTATATATGAGCAACTTGAACATGAGGGAATGCAAAGGAAATGGAAGTGCCCACAAGAGATATCTCAAGTTGAAATGTCAGCTTTCACTGCGGACTGCTGAGTGCAGGCTGACAAGAACTGGGTTCTACCTGCTTTGCTTTTATCCTCAATATGATTTGATAAATTGGTAATGTTTCAAAGGTTCTCATAGCCTATGGCGAGAACAGTGGGTAAATGCTTACATTTTTGGACATTTGCAATGCTTTCAGAAGTGGGAGTCCCCATCTACTGGGTTAAAACACACATAGGTGTCTCCTGCGCTGCCTGAGGTCACATGAGCAGCTGCCACGCTTCTATGCTGCGCTGCCCCAAGCGACACCACAAACACAGCGCTGCTTCTGGGCTTTCTCCGCTTCCCTGCTATTAAAAATCTTGCTTGTCGAGATCAAGCATAAATCCTTCCTCCTATGAAATCCCCTGAGGGGACCAGCTAGAAGTCACTACCTCTTCTGAATTCCTCTAAGCGTTTCTCTCAGTGTCCAGTGCAAATGGAAGCTGACAAAAGGAAATGCCCAAGACTCATCGACCACCCCTCCCTGCCCCATGCCATTCCACAACATCTACTGCGGTGGAGAATTCGGGTTTTACTGAACATGACTTATCTGCTGGTGAGACACTGGACTGTGGGTGGCAAATTAGAGCTTGCAACGGTTAATCCCGGTTTTTAACTTGACCGGATTGCGAATCAACTGAGACAAAGACTTTTCCGCATGTCTACAGCAGAGTATCTAGATTCGGTCAAAGACTCATCCTGAATGTGGGCAGTAACATTCCTTGGGTAAGGAGTCCTAGGCTGGATAAAAAAGACGAAGTTGGCTGGAGAGAGAGCTCCGGGGTCAAGAACATTCAGGGATCTGGCAGAGGACCTGAGTTCAGTTCTCGGCACCCATCTCTAGTGGCTCACAACTTCCTGTAACTCCAGCACCAGGGGAATGTGAAATCATCTACAGACGCCGCTGTGAGCACCTGCACTCATGTGTGCATCCCCATACCTGAATCAAATAACGAGGGAGGAGGAGCACTGTAGAATGGCAGCCAACAGTCATCTCCTTCTGCTTTCTGACTGCAGATGCAATGTAACCAGCCCGCTATGATGCTGTGTACCCTTAAACCGCGAGTCAAAATGAACCCCTTCCTGCAGTCTGGCTTAAAATCAGTCCGGCTAGAAATATTGGCATGTGCAATAAGAATATGCTACAAATTATGATTTTTTAATCTGACAAATAGTTCACTAGCATGTCATTCATTCACCTTTGCTTTCCAGAAACCATTTATTGCATAAATAAAAATGTCTGATAAATCATGAGTGACTGGTTCTTTTCATAGTTAAATTGTAGTCAAATAAAGCAACACACACACACACACACACGCACACACACACAAAGAGAAAGAGAATGATACTCTAGACTGATACCTCTTACCAGATTTGGGCATATGCTATCTGGGTGGGAAAGAGCATCTTGGGATCCACAGGGATAATCTAAATTAACATTTTTAAAGAGCATCTAATCAGAACATCTCACATCATTGTAAAACCTTATCACTCATCTTCATAGAAACATGGTTTTTTTTTAATTTGAGAAACAAACAATATGAAAACTTTTTAAAAATTTGTTCAAAGATGTAACTGTCCTAAACTTTTCTCCACACTATAACATATCACGTGAAGAAAACTCTGCCTCTCCCCATTAGTTCTGTATCACTCTGTGAGGTACATGCAGGGCTGAATCCTAACTCTGCAGGGCAGATGAAGGGACTCCGCACAGCTCTGTAGAGCACGTGAATGACTGTATGACTCGGTAGGGTACGTGAAGGACTGCACAGAACTATGTGGGGCACATTAGATGACAGGAGTTAACGGGCCTTCCTCTTCTGTGCTTCAGCTACACTCTTTCCAACAGCAGCCAGATTGCTTAACATATGAATTCGGCAGAGCAATACCACAGACATTAGTAAGCAGATAAGCCACAAAATTCCAAACTCATGAATTTCCATTATTTTTAGACAGCTGTCTTCTTTTGTACTGTTCATGTATATTTATGTGGCTATAGGTACGTATGGAGGCCAGCAGACAGCACTGGATGTCATCCTCGGGACACCAGTCACTTCCTTTGAGACAAAGTTGCTCATTGGCTAGGAGCTTGCCAATTACGCCAGATTAGCTGCCAGCCGCGGGCCCTGGCATTCTTATCTGTGTTCTGAAAATTGAACTCAGGCCCTTGCACTTGAAATAAAGCAAAACGAAGGCAGTGCTTATTACCTGAGTCGTCCTGCCAGCCCCATGTCCAATATTTAGTTCATCAACGTTGGAAAGAAGCAAAAGTCAAATCAACCCAATGATTTACTATGAATAACAGATGAAGGATTGGGAAGTTTTTCCTCCTTGTTCCAAAGAAGTCAGAAAATCTAGAAACTTTTCAAGGCCAGATGCAAATTCAGAGTCAAACAGAAAAGAAGGGGTTTCTCTTTTCCGAAAATTCAGAACATTCTAGAGCACCAAGCACACGCAGACTTCTTTGCAGAGATCGTGTAAAACATGCCACCTGCTTTAGTACAAGAAGAGCAATCAAATTGATGGGACAGTCTTACCATAAAACAGAAAAAAAAAAAGCTGCATATACGCAGAGACCAAAACAAATTTCAGACAGAAAGCAACCAGGTGGTTTTTGTGTTTTCAAACGAAGACAGTTGGCTTGACAACACAGAGTTTAGAGAGATTTGATAGCGTTATAGAGTAACCAGCTGCAACCTTCGACTTTTCTCTCTTGTCTTCTGCCAAAGTCACACATGTGCTTCAGCGGGAGCGGGTGCAGCGAGAACAACAGAATGTGTGATTTCAGATCTGAGACCAAACGCTGCACGCTTCTCGCCGATGTTCCCAGTAAGGAACACGGGGTTTGTGGAGTGACTTGGTGAAGGCAGTTTAGCCTGACTCGGTGGGAGACAAGAAAAGGAGAACCTGTTTTCAGAAACTGGAGTGGTTTCTTATAAACTAACCCTTTCCTATCGACTAACCGTAAAATCCAGATTTGAATTTAAGACGGCCCATGGGCGAGTTCCGTGTGAAGTGCATGGCATCTAGCCGAAAACCAATCCTTCCCAAGGCTCTCAATAACACGAGGCAAAGCAGTCTCAGGGCATATGGGCCTTTGCTTGCCACCTGCAGCTGGCTCCCTCTCACGTTTCACCTCGGGCCAGTCTGAAGTCCCCTCAGTGTTTTCCAAACATTCCCACTGTTTTCCAAACCATCTCCACAATATTATGAGTGCTGCTTAACAGATACAAACAGAACTGCTCGTGGGAGGTCCAGAGCCTGCTCATCTTAGTTTCTCATACACAAAGCATCAGTTGTGTGTGTGTGGGGGGGGGGAGGTTACAGAGGAGCGAGCATTCAAAGGCCACAAAGCACTGTGGCTGAGGAATCCCTCCTCACCCAAATGCCCCCATCCAGAACAGATGTTGCCCTGTGTGCTCAGCAAAGAGGAGGTGAAAGGTATGGGGTGCACAGCATGTCCTGGCCTGCACAGCATGCCAGGGCCTCCCTATGCGCTATGCATGGCCTCTTGGCAGATGACAACACCCCCCTACCCCAGTCTCCATGCTTGGCACCAGCTCATGTTCCATACAGTTAGCTTGTGCACAGAGACAACTGGACCTCACCATGATTTTAGTCTCAGTGGCGAACAGAGAGAACAATGAAAGGACACTACCAACTACTTCCTGCCGTTTCTTTCCAATCTCTCTTTAAGGGTTTTATTTACATAAAAATGATTTTTGTGCACCCCTCTCTGACCTTTTAAAGCAAGTCTGTTTTTAATTCTTCCAAATGTAATGTAAGGTATACGTGTACACAATTATACCTCATGGGTAAAACTACCACCAATTTTATTTCCACTTTCGTCTACAGCAGGTAGTGCGCCAGCTAGCCTTTTAACGCTGTCTGCCGCAGGCGAGGTCATCAGGACAGGGTCTAGTCCCTGCTGGACTGCGGGTCAATGAAGAGCTGCTTCCTTTCCTTCCAAGTGCTGCTTGCTGGAATGGCAGAGAGAGGCTCGCCTCACGCTGCTAAGCCAGGGCACATAGGAGGCAGGAAGGGGTTTGCTGGCATCACAAGGGCAGAAGGGGCTTTGGCTAAAAAGATTCCGTCCCTTCCTACAACTGCTCCGTTTTCTGGGACCCTCTGAACTCTGCCACTCTCAGCAACCACCAGCTTTCATGAAATACTCTTGCAACGTTTCCCCATATACTTATTACTGGAATTGTCCTTGCAGTTTATAAAGTATTTTGAGACGTTTCATTTATCTATCATTGTTTTTCTTTATACAAATATCCACTCTGACATTCCGAATATTCGGAAGAACGGTGACTAGCTATAATGTTCAGATTAGCAAATGATATTAACCGGCCAGTCAGTACCAGCTCAGTCACACAGCATCTCACAGAAGAAGAGCAGTTCTCTTACTTGGGCAGTCTCTGCAGCACGGTCTTCAGTTCATCACATATGAGCTTGACCAGTCCATTCTTTATGTTACTGTACGAGACATCGATCATGAAGATGAAGGCTGGTGGGTTGGGAGGCTTATTCTTCTGCAGGGAGGCAAAGGTCACACAAGTAGATACAAACTAAGTATATTTCACAATCAAACACAAACAGACTCTAAGGCCAATCAGATGCTTCAGTCAATACTTAGGATATTAATACCTCTGTGGATCAATAACTTTCTAGGAAACTCAGTCCCTGCTATAAAAACAAATAAAAGAAGCCACTTATTCTCCAGGTTATGACAGGAACTTTCCACTATATTAACAGAGGGAGTATTGGGTCAGCCTTTGAGGCAGCAAGCTCTCTTATAGGAGGAAATGCATCTGGGGATCTGAAAAGGAATGTTCAAAAGGAGTACAATCGAAAATTAACATTTTTGGAAACTGGAACCAAGCTTCATTAACTGGGAGATCATGATTCAGGTCTCTCACCACTTCCTTTGGTTTTAGACATGTGGTTTTTTTGTTTTGTTTTGGAAGCAAGGTCTTGCTGTGGAGCTCAGGCTGGCCTCAAGCGCAGTTCATTCTCTTGCCTAAGCCTCTGCACTGCTGGGATTACAGGAACATCTATACCAACACACTCAGCTGCAGATATGGAAGTGTCTATTAAGATTAACTGCATACCTTAAAATATACATTATAAAATACTTTCCAAACTTACTTCGTGTTTGTGGTAAAGAAAAATGACCCTTTCCCTATGTCTATGCAGCAGTTACTGTAACATAAAGCAGCTGTTATGAAATTGGGCCCTCGCTGTTTCCCAATCTGGCTGGTGTCCAAATAGCTCATAAGGAAGTGATCCTTCAGCTGGGGTTTATAAAATGTTTAGAAAAGAAAGCCACAGGCAAATATCATCAGTGACCTCCACTCGAGAATAAAGACCAACATTTATTCAGCTTATGGTGAAGTGTAAAAATGTTCTGAAATTAAAATATATTTTAATTTTATCATCTTATCTTATCAATTATTAGATGATAAGAGTTATAAATGATCTCATCGATCTGGTCTGTATCTACTGTAATAGACATAATACTGTTCTAATAAATATCCCATTTCAAATAAAAACATATACTAACTCAGTCTGAAAAGTTACTTTTCCATTTCCAAAATCAGAACAGCCAAGGAATGAGGAAAATCTGCTGGTGTCTCTGTGAGGATTTCTTCTCAATTCCCAAGTCCCTTCTCCTCTATTCCATAATTAGATATATTATGAGATAATATAGATGAGACCAGATAAAAATAGAAACCATTCTCATTAATAAAGCAACACCTCTCGGTGACTTTATTAATTGTATCTTATTTATTATCCTTATACTCTCTCAAACATTCCCCATAAGTCATTCCTTGCTGACCTGCCTGTCTCTCTAAAAATCCTTCATTCAGTCAGACTTACTTGTTTTCACCATGTGTGTAGTTAACGTGTCATTCCTCCACACTACACTGCCTTTGTTTCTTTCCGTGACAGCACCACATGACAGCTTGAGGCTGAAGCTGTACTTGACCTGTTTCCCTCAGACATTTAAAAAGAAACTGTTCCCGGGGCCCCTAGCTCTTTCGCACAGACCCTCCCAGTCTTCCATTCTAGCCAGCGTGTGCACATATGTGCATGTGTGTGTGTGCGCATGCGTGGACATGCGTGCATGCGTGCGTGTGTGCGTGTGTGTGTGTGTGTGTGTGTATGTGCACGGCAGCAGAAATCAGTGGAAACCACTGCCTCCCCACTTTCCATTATCCCCACCCCTACTAAAGTAACATAAGCTCTCAACAGCTTGTCCACCCACACTCTCTATAAAACTTCCTTTACAATGTGTACAAAACTCTAAAACCCCAGAGACACAATGCTAACCCAATAGGAAATAAAGGTACAGATTTGTCTCAAAATACTTCTTCAATTTACTTCTTATTCCCAAAACGCATTCTCTCAATTTAAGTGGCTGCCATTTCCAAAATATTGCCTACACAGCATCACACACACACACAGAACCTGAGCCAGGACAGTAGTAAATATGTTTTATTTGATACAGCGTTTTAAAAACACTTGAATTCTTATGAGGTTTTGAAGAAAATGGAGTACACTCTCCAGCAATCTTGGTGCTTACAATGGGTCCACATCAGTCCCCAGCAGTCTCTTCAGAGCTCCCGAGCAGAAGTGACTGGGCCGCCCCTGTGACCCACTTCTGGTCACTCTGCAGTTTCTCCCTCCACAGGCAGTTCTCTGCTTGTGCTGTATCTTCTCATTATTACTATTAGTTACTTTTGTTTGTTTTCTGGGTTTTGTTTTGCTTTTGTTTTGTTTTTACAGGGCCCCACTAGCTCCAGCTGTCCCGGAACTCACTATGTAGACCAGGATGGCTGTGAACTCACAGAGCTCCATCTGCTTCTGCCTCCCAGGTTCTGGGATTCGAGGTGAGTGTGAGCCCGGCTATCTGCTCCTGGCTGAACTCACTCATGCCACTTCCGGATACACACCTTTCTGACCATGCTCTCCTCCAGCTTTGACCATTCGTCCTTCACAGTGTAGCATACTCAGGGTCATACTGTGACCAGACATGCTTCTTAGGCATAGTCTTTGAACTTATTTATTATATTGCTGGTTTGGGGCAATTCTTACAGTACAAAGATGAATTGTTTGGACATTCAAGTTATCTAAGATATATCAAAATGAATTAAAATTAACTTTAAAAAGGCCCTGCATTCTTATTGAGGAAGAAAAGCTGATCGTAGATTTGCTCTTCCTCAGGGAAACTTCATACTGATTTTGCAAAACACTTGTCCACATGCTTCATGGTGTGGTGACAGGGGAGGTAAGGCTCTGACCCCACAGACATGGGCTCAGGGTGGCACCATCACCTTCTACACATTTGATCTGCAACTGAAGCTCTCTCACCTGTCCCTATACAATGTGGCACACAACACAACACTGTAGAAATGTCACAAATCAAACTGAGACCCCAACGTGCCAGAATCTAGGAGGAGGACACACATGCAAAAACATAGATATCACAGGGGGAACAGATAAAACTAAGATGTCCTCTAAGTTTGATGAAGAAAAAGAAGCACCCGTTGGAACGAATAAACGAGGACACCTGCTCATAATGCACTTCCATCTAGTCAGGAAGCAGAGAATAAGTAGGCATTTTTCCAGACAGGAGTCATACACCCATGATGGGTCAGGAGAAAGACACCCTCTTATCTTTACTATATAAAGGCAGAGCTGATAAGTCAGTCTCTGTGTTGAGGATTCATACAGTGGCAGACAGCTCTGTGGGGGCAGCATAGTGTCTCACAGCCAGTGACTTGATAAGGAAAGTTAATTTTGTTATCTTTTTCTTCTTTAAGAAAGAACCCATTTATTAATTATTGCTCTCAGTGTCTGTGCTGCAGGGTTATATTTAGGAAATGGTCCCCTGTGCCAATGTGTTCAAGTGTGCTCCCACTTTCTCTTCTGTGAGGTTCAGTGTGGTTGGTCTTATGTTGAGGTCTTTGAGCCATTCGGACTCATGCATGGGTCCAGACCTGAACAGAGAACTCTCAGCAGACGAATCTAAAATGACTGAAAGACACTGAAGGAAATGGTCAGCATCCTTAGCCATCAGAGAAATGCAAATCAAAACAACTCTGAGATTCCATCTTTCACCTGTAAGAATGAGCAAAACCAAAAACATTGATGACAGCTTCTGCTGAAGAAAATGGAGGGTAAGGGGAATACTCTTGCATTGCTGGTGGGAGTGCAAACTTGTACAGCCACTTTAGATTTAAGTATGGCCATTTCTCGGAAAATTAGGAAACATCCTACCTCAAGAACCAGCAACACAGCTATTGGGTATATACCCAAAGGATGCTCAATCACACGCACTACAAGGACATGTGCTCAACTATGTACACAGCCGTGTTGTTTGTCAAAGCCGGAACTGGAAACAACCTAAATGCCCCGCAACTGAAGAATGGATAAATAAAAAAAAAAGTGTGGTGCATTTACACAATGGAGTACTATACAGTGGAAAAAATAATGACATCTTGAAATTTGAGGGCGAATGGATTGATCTAGAAAACACCATATTGAGTGAGGTAACCCAGACCCAGAAAGACAAATATAATATGTACTCACTCATAAGTGGCTTTTAGGCATAAAGCATGAAAAACCAGCCTACAATTCACAACCCCAGAGAACCTAGACAACAAAGAGGACCCTAAGAGAGACAAACATGGATCTATGCTACACGGGAAGTAGAAAAAGAAAAGATCTGAGTAAATCAGGAGCATGGGGATCACGGGAGATGGTAGAAGGGTAGAGGAAGGAAGAAGGGAAGAGAGCAGAGAAAAACATACAGCTCAATAAAAACAATAAAAAGAAAAAGAAAGAACCCAAAGAAGTTTATGGGAGGTAGTCAAATGAGTATCAGAGTTACACACTAAAGTAAGGAAGCCCGCAGTTCTCTAAGCATACTGGTTAAGCTTCTGTCTTGGTAGAGAAATCACTAACAAACCAAAAGAGCCAGAGACCTGGGTGGAATTAAATTACTGCATTAAGAAGCAAACAACATCTGGAAGAGGCGCCATTTGCCATTCACCTTAGCATTCATTCGGGAGTTCAAGGTCATCTTCAGCCACACAGCAGGGTCAAGGACCAAACTAAGGGAGACCCTGTCTCAGAAACCAAATCAAAACAAACAAAAGAACAGGATCCCCTCTCTCAAACAGACAAAACGGAATTGTTTCCTATTTCTATACCACACTTCTAAGCTTGATTACCCCAGGAGACAGCTCAGCCACTGAACCATGCTAACGAGTTAGGTTGGATCTGTGTCTGAGGCATTTCTACAAGCCCCAGGAGATGCTCTGTCTGTGAACCATGTCATGTCTTTACATATGGAAGTTGTTCAGTGAAACTCACATTCGACATAGAAATGCTTACGTCCTGGCAACACTCACCCTGCAGTAATCCAACGTAGCCACATATTCATAGGATCCCAGCGACAGCTCCGGCTTCTCATAGTGATCCACTCGCCTTCCAATGTGGTCCAGATGTTGGAAATAGAATGGAGGGACTAAGGAAAGCAAACCAGGGCAGAAAATCCTTTTTTTTCACAAGAAGACAACCCAAGAAAGTCTCAGATTTTATTATAGAAGAAAGGAGTTAGGATCAGGAACACAAGTTGTTCTCAGTATCACTGTGAGACCATGTCTTAGAAACATGTGAAAAATGAGTTCTCTCTTTTAAGGTCACTGACTTTTTGACTCTTGTATATGTTGTAAGTCATTATGATTATGATTATGCCTTTTAATTATGTTTGTAACAGTTTTGCCATATATAAGCTTTGATATTTTTATAATCAAGTCAATCTTCCTGGAATTCTATCTATAGAACTATAAAATTTTATACATACTTTTCATCAGTGTTGATTGCTTCATTACTCAGCATAACGTATTACTACATTTTAATCATGAAATATTTTATCCATATAGAAAACAACAGACCACAATATTCACATTCATGTTACGGGAATGAAAGCTTTGTTAAAAACCTCTCGATCATAGACAAGTTATTGATGGCAAAGGACATTTATAATTTTGGGAATTCCAGAGAAAAGTGCGGTCGTTTCCAAGCTAACACACCCAAGAATCTGCCTCCACTAACTCACCTCTCTTCTATAAATTTAATTTTCTATTTGGATTTTTAACGTAGCTGACGGAGACTAATGCTGACTATCAGGATTATCCTATCCACTATAATCTTTATTACACCTTAATTAAGAAATGTCCTCAGCGCTGGGCTTTCACACGCTGATCTGCTAGCGGCCGGCCCTCCTCATGTGGAAGATTACTGTATTAGGGAAAGACTGCACCCGAAAGATCTCAGTGGAAGTCTAATTTGATTCAAATGTCTCGGGAGGTTACTTCTAGTGAGGTTCTGGAAGCCACCCAAAGGCAGAGCAAGAGTTATGACTCACACGCTCCACACTTGGACAAATAAGGCTCGGAGTCTCTGCTCAAAAGAGCTCCTGTAGCCTGGTGATAGCCAGAGAAGGCTGCGAAACTTCTGTTAGGAGAACATGGGAAAGCTACCAATGCTTTCAAGTATTTTGCTAAGAACAGCATCCCCCTCTGTAAAAACCACAAAAGCAGTACCCTTTGGGTTGAAACCAAAGGAGTCTCTATATTCAGATGTGAACATGCGAATTATAACAGGATTATTTTTCTAAAGTCAGATTTTAAAAAAAAACACAGAAGTTTCAGAGTCTATGTTCTTATCATCTCATGACTATTTCCTTTAGGAGTGAACTCTATAAAGTTTATATTTACATATTTGACTCTGAACTTGGCAAATTCAACATCTTGAAAAGATTACAGAAGACGAAGACGACAGTCTCTGTCAGTAAAGTCAAATAAACCAGGGGCCATGATAGTGACTGGTTACGTGTAGGTGTCGTGCCGATTTCTGGGCTGTCTGGCTTACGATATGTGGAATGGTACTTTCTATACAGCATAATGTATAATTCATTCACACATCTCCATATAACGTGATTTTTAAAATTAATTTGACATAATAAAATTACATTAAATATTAACATTTAATATTATCTGCCACATATCCTCAATCGAACTCGAGTCACACCATAAATTATGCTCTGCCACAGAATCTCTTTCTCTCCTGGTTTCTGTGTGCGCGTGAGTGTGTGTGTGCACGTGCGTGTGTGTATGTATGTGCGCGTATGTGTGCGTGTGTCTGTGTGTAGCTACACGTGTGTGGGGGTCCACCTCAGGCACTATTCCTCAGGAGCTGGCCACCTTGTTACTTGAGACAGGGTTTCTCACTGGAACTTGGAGCTTGACCATTTGGCTAGGCTGGCCAGCCAGGGAGCCATAGGGATTCTCCCTTTTCAACCCCACAGCACTATGCTCTGATTGCGTCTCATGTGGGTGCTGAGGACCAAACTCAGGCCCTCGTGTTTGTGGACAAGCGCTTTATCCATGGGCTCTCTCTGTAGTGGCCTCCCGCACAGTCTGACATCAACATGCCCCTTCCTCCTGAAAATTCAACATTTATATCAGAAGAGGAAAGTCCTTGGTTATATGAGCTTTTCCGAAATACCATGAATTCAAGAACAATCCCAGGCAGTGGGGCACTGTGGGTCCCAGGAGACACAGGTCCACCATTACACACTTCAGTTTCACGCAAAGCGATAGCACAATTTCCATGTGGGACTCCTGCAACTACATACAGTTAACAGGGACCTAGTTCCATTAGTAATGGCTTCTGTTTAGGGACGCTACCATTAGTGCCATCTAGAAAAAAAAATTAAAAAAAAAAACAAAACAAGAGCTGTCTTCCCTAAGCTAAGGCATCTAATACTTCATATTTTTAAGTAAAAAGCTTCTACAAAGTGCTCTAAATGGCACCATTTACCGTCATTCACACAGCTGCAAAATCCACACTGATAGCGCCTCCCGCCTTCAATGAACTGCATGAACGGGCACATGTAGGCTTTGCACCGGTTGCACCGCACTGGTCCGCTCTCGCCATGGTTGACCAAGTACAAGGGGGTCTAGAAGAAGGAAGAACATGAAATGAATTGGGAGCACGGAGATTCTGGGTGCTATCAAAACCCCCCACTAGGACTCACTGAGAAACCCTTACTGAGCATTTGCCAGGACCGTGAAGATTTCTCCCAGACCACTGGTGAATTCAAGGATTATGACACACTCCACCACACCCAGACAAAGATTCATCTAGACGTATATATCACTAACAAGCATATCTCACTTGCAAGAACATATTAACACCTGCACATCGATGTCAATATGTGTATGCATGATTACCTGTCTCTGTGTGAAAAGATAATAAATAAAAAATAATAATGTAAATAGTTCATTAAGCTTATGTGAAAATGTTCCCAATGCCTATAGCACGCATCCTGCTAAGCAGGGCACACTCCAAACAGAATAAGATGGGTCTTGTAAGAGTCTAGTGTGTATGGCAGCATGTTGTTCATGTAGCTTACAAATGACTTCTTCTAACATGAAACTATTTGGACTAGAGAGATGACTCAGAGGTTAAGAGCACTTTGCTCTAGAGGACCCAGTTCCAATTCCTAGTGCCACCATGGCTGTTCACAACCATCCATAACTCCAGTTCCAGGAGATCTGATGCCCTCTTTTGACCTCCATGGGCACCAAGCACACTTATGATACACATACATACATACATGTAGATAAAGGACCCACACATAAAGTGAATCCATTTAACAAAGCATTTGTTAAAATGAAACTATTTGAAAAATATGCAAGAAGGGCCACTTATTTAAGGCTGGAGGCTGATTATACTTTTTGTTACTTCATTAAATGACAAAACTTCATAGTAGCCTTAGTGTGACCGGCCATGTTTGACAGACTGGAAAAAAAAAATACTTGATTCAGATGCATCTTTCTCATCAACACAACATAGAAAGCCAGACTAGATTGAAGGTAAAGAGGCCCAGAATCAGGACTCTGCTTGTTTCTTAATGGTCCAGCTTTTGTAATAAAACCACAAAGACCCTTCTTGCTTTTATAAACCTGTTTAAAAGAAAACACCTTCAGAAACCCCTGAGAGCTGAGGAGCTGCTCATGTCAATTAAAAAATTTAAAGATAAAGTTACAAATAAAGAAGATACTTTTTATGGAGGCCTGAAGAACAGGGGACCATCAGGTGGGGTGAGGGAGCATCAGGTGAGGGAGCATCAGGTGGGGATGAGGGAGCATCAGGTGGGGATGAGGGAGCATCAGGTGGGGATGAGGGACCATCAGGTGGGGTGAGGGACCATCAGGTGGGGATGAGGGACCATCAGGTGGGGTGAGGGACCATCAGGTGGGGTGAGGGACCATCAGGTGGGGTGAGGGATCATCAGGTGAGGGATCATCAGGTGGGGATGAGGGACCATCAGGTGAGGGACCATCAGGTGAGGGACCATCAGGTGGGGCGAGGGAGCATCAGGCGGGGTGAGGGACCATTAGGTGGGGTGGGGGGCCATAAGGCGGGGTGAGGGACCATCAGGTGAGGTGGGGGGGCATAAGGCGGGGTGAGGGACCATCAGGTGGGGTGAGGGCTCACCAGGTGGGGTGAGGGACCATCAAGTGGGGTGGGGGACCATCAGGTGGGGTGGGAGGTCATCAGGTGGGGTGGGGAACCATCAAGTGGGGTGGGGGGCCATAAGGCGGGGTGAGGGAGCATCAGGCGGGGTGAGGGAGCATCAGGTGAGGGACCATCAGGTGTGGTGGGGGACCATCAGGTGGGGTGGGGGCTCACCAGGTGGGGTGGGGGACCATCAGGTGGGGTGGGGGACCATAAGGCCAGTTTCTCCCAGAGGTTTAGAAAACCCAGTCCCGGTGCTTGTGTTTGCCTTTGTCAGATGTTCAGAGCGAAAGCCGACCCACTGCTGGGGTTTCAGAAATGGGCTGTGAGGTCTCGGAACAGTGGGAGAGGAGGAAAGGTGGGAGGGGAGGAGGAGTTGTTGAGACAAGGATTAACGTGAGCATGCAGAGACATGTTCTTGGCACAGAGGGCTGGGGAAATGGAGCTGCCATTGTTTCTATCCAGAATAACTTTATCTCTCTAAAAAGCACTTAGCACATGAAACACTGTCCCCCCTGGGGGGGGGGGGTTAGAGCTGGGTAGTATGAAATGTACTCGGGTTTCTGAAGGCCAACTTCTTAGTTACTGCAAAATGTGCTCATAAAAATGACCTAAAGGACAGAAAATCTACCTTCCAGGAGACTTTAATATGGCTATGAACTAGTGGTTAAAAGCTGAGAGGCATTTTTAAGCATCTAGGGATTTGCTTCAAACCTGCCCATGGATGTACACAGTAGTGTTTTCATATATACCTTTTGTCTGAAAGACAAACTGGTCCGAGTTTGCTTTTTTTAGTTAGAAGCAATAAAACATGATCTAGGGACCGGCCTGAGTGGGAAGATGCAGTCCCCAAACAAAAGGCCCCGAACAAGTCAGGGGAGCGAGAACCAAAGGCAGAACAAATGGCATTGGCCAGGCCACTGCTTCTGGGGCCTGTGTTTACTCTCTGTAACCAGACAACAGTTTCTGAAGCTAAACAAGGACGAATTCTGTAATTTGCCTTGACCATGGCCAAGTTCTACTTTTTTCAGCCTTTTGTTTCCAAAGACTTCAAAGACTACAATCAGTTCCCTGAAGTGCTTTAGAAACAATTACGATACAATTATTTGCCAGACAAATCAGTGGGAATGGAAGGTAATTTGCTTTTATATTCAGGATTATAATTTGCCCAAAGGCAGACCATGCCTAAAACGTCTGGGAACTATCACCAACCACCACGTAAGCATTCCAGTCCTGGGAGACGCAACCTCCCAGAATCAGCATGGATGCCTAGCAATAAGCAGCAGCCCCGTCAGGACTCTTTCTTGGCTATTACAAACACTTATGTTTTCCTGTGTTCGCTCCTTGAGATGATAAGAAAGGTCTTCAGCCAACCAGGGTGGCGGCAGCAAGGAATCTTAAAAGCTTCTTAACTGTTTATGTCTCATTCAGGGGCGACGGGGAGAGGTTTGAAAGTGGCACTGTCTTGTTTAATCTCTCAGGCCGTGTTGAAAACCGTCAGGGTTTATTCTCTTTCCCTGTGTCCACTTATCGGCTCCACAGTCATGTGCATAAGCTCGGAAAGACCTAAGCTGCCTTTTCTTCTATGCTTAACTGCAGTGAATATGCATCTGTAAGTGAAATTCCTTCTTCTCTAAGACTGGCGAAAGCTGCTCACTTTCCTAACCAAGGGCGCTTACCGTGCCTCACCTGCCCTGACTTCTAAGCGAGCTTTCATCTTTGACCTCTGTACTCCTGTTCACACTATATTTTTTCTGACTACCGTTAGTTCTGGTACCATGTTGTGTGACTTTATCAATATGTAAGCAGGTGACAGAGACGCTGAAAATGGAAAAAGACAAAGCTGATTTTTCAATCTCCTATTTTGGGATTATCAGAGGTGTGGTAAATAGCATACCGATACTATTTGTCATTTAAATGTTTTAATTGAAAAAAATGTATCTTTATGTATAAGTAAAATTAACATTCAGAGTTGGTCAAAGGGGTCCTACAGACCCTGCAAACATCACAGACTACTGCCAAGTCTGTTGGTTCCTCTCCACAATCTAATGGGTGGGCTCTATATCAAACATGCCGAAATCAAACTGGTGCCTAACTAGACATTCCATAGACTGGAGTTCATAAGACCAGAGTTCAAAAAGGAGATGTCAAACCAGTCACAGACTATATCTTCAAAACAAAATCAGATATTCAGGAGGATGAATCCCATCCACATCTTCTAAGATCTTTAGGCTGTGGGATTTTGCTTGCTTGTACGTTGTTATGAACACTGTACGTACAGAGCACAGAACAAGGGTATGAGCTTGTGACCCGGCAGGAGGAAGGCCGGGGGAGGAGGAGCCTACGACCAAGGCAAGCCTTGCTTACACAGGTCATGTCTCAACAAAATAAAACTCCAGACTTTTGGGTTTTGCTGTAGATTTTCTGTCCTAGGACAGCAAGGAATTACAAATAACCTAAGCCAAAACTGTTGTTTTTATAGACGATGTCCAGTAGGTGGCACTGTGAGTCTACAATTGAAAACAAAGTTCTTGTGGGTCATGCCCAAGAAAACAATCGCAACCACTTGTGTAATTTTAGAAACAGCCAAACTTAGAGCAGCTAGTACCTCATTAAAATAATAAGTATAAAGTTTACTAAAATTTACCAACTATTCTAAAACAAATTAATAAAAGACAGGCATATATACACACACACACACACATATATATACATATACACATTTCGTCAATATTAAAGCAATTACTAAATTTACTGAGGTAATAGGAAAAATTGTATTTTTAAATGTTGTTAACATTCTGCCAACTTCTCCTTGACTCTACATAGGAAAGCAGAAATATTGCCGGGACTGACAGGCAGCCACCAGCACAGCGGGCAACATCAAAGTGGCCTAAAAGCAAAGGGACTCAGGAAGCCAGCGCCCACTGCCACAGTGGCTCCCACCTCCTGCTCTGTACCCTGGCAATCAAGAGACAGAGCACCCAGAGCCCAGTGCTGAGTCATGGCCCCGGGCAGCACTGTGATGGAGAGAGGATGCAGCCATGGCCAAGAGGAAAGTGCACAAGGATGCTGATGCTGGTCGGAGGCCCAGCAGCCACGCCTAGGATTAGTCAAGCCCTGCCTAAGGTGCCCAGGACACCGTGAGTGAGTGCCCGCCTGTCTCTTCTTATTTCTTGCATTTGCCTTTTAGATCTAACACTTTAAATTTTTAATGGAAACATATTACATCATATCTCCCCGTCTCTTTCCTCCACCAATCCCTCCCGTCTCCTACCTCCAATCTTCCCCAATTCCCCTTCATGTCATCTCAAATTCATGGCCTCTGTGTCTTTACTATCATTTGTACGTGTGTGTGTTTGTGTACACACATATATGAGACGTATGTACACACAACACATATATTTGCACTCATATAACTATAAACTACTGAGACCA